AATTGGATGATACTCCTAAAATATCACCATTAATGATGGTCTAAGTAGTGAATCTCTTAACTTAAAATTTAATAAATATAGTAGTGAAATCGTTAGGTTATCTCACCAATGGAGATGCTCTAACCCCCCCCCCCCCCCTTGTTACCATTGTGGAAGTTGGTGTAAAGTATATGTGATTTACATTGTATATAACCTTAATTACATTGTATATAACTTTTAGAGTTGGAACCCACAAATGTGCTGAAAGCAACATATATAGTTGTGGAATATTAAACCAAACTTTGCCAACATGTGAAACCCCTAGCACATGTTCAGCTTTATTAATTCATACAATACATATAAGCCCACATCAGAACATCTAGTTATCCCTAATGTGTACCTACTTATATCCTAGAGATAAAGATTTGGATCGGACAACCTTAGCACGGGCGTGGCAATAAGTGGATTCTTCAGCTTCAAGGCGATCCCAAACTTTTCCTCGACTTCCACTCTCTTTCCTTGAGGAAGTTTCCAAGCAAAAGAATGCAAAAGCGTAGCGATATTGTAAAGAACAACCCTCTCGCCCATCGCCATTCCCACACATATTCTACGACCAGATCCAAACGGTAGATAGTTGAAGTCGTTTCCATTGAAGTCATAAGACTTATCAAGAAACCGGTCAGGATCAAACTCCAGTGGGTTCTCCCATACATTTGGATTCCTATGTATCGCCCACACGTTAATGAAGACCTTTGAATCTTTAGGGATGGTGAATCCGCTCACAACGGTGGTTTGAGATGGGCGATGAGGGATAAGGAATGGAGCAACCATGTGAAGCCTTAGAGTTTCTTTCATAATAGCGAGAATGTATGGAAGTTTAGAGATGTGAGATTCTTCCACTACTTTGTCTTTGCCCACAACTTTCTCAAGCTCTTGTTGAGCTCTCTTCATGATATCAGGTCTGTTTAATAGCTCGGCCATCGCGAACTCTATGATGTGTAGCGATGTTTCTATACCACCGAGCACCATATCCTACATATATAATTGAGACAGTAGTTATTAAAATATGTTTAGATTTTATGCTAAAATTAAAAAGAAATAGAATAGTATTAATCTAAATT